GGAACACACCTCTTCTGCAAGCACCAGGGGTTGTAATGACCAGGCTCTGCATGCAGCTAAATCTGCCTGTGCATCAGCCTGATGCTGTTAAATACCAGGATTAATAATATATAGCAACGAATACATTGTGTTTTGGTGTCTAAGCGAGAAAAAAGTTCTGCTTTGGGTATAATTGAACATTTTGGGCTTTGTCGTTTTATATAAAGAACATTAAGGTGATGGTGGTGAAGAGATATTGATGCAAAAAACCCCAAACAACAGTATTTTTAATTAAGAGCACTAAAGTTACATCTCATTTTATAGCAATGCCATTTGATCCTTGGTGTAAGTGCAGAAGTGGAACCTCTAATGTTTAGGGGGTATTACCATGACTACACATATAAATTTATACCAAGAAACTTGTATCATGATCACAGCTGATGAATTTAAAAACATCAGAGCTGCCTCCCACCTCAATCCGCTGTTCTGCCCTCATGTTAACAGAAATGCCAGTGCTGTATTTATGCCCACAGGATGTTTAGTTAGTAACCAAGTAACAGCAGTGTGTCACAGACTCACCCTGTGGTTATGATTTAACTACAAGCTGTACGGACTCAAATCTGATTCCCAGCTTAAAATAGCACTTTTGAAAGTCCAGCAGTTTCTCATCCCTTTTTCCCTTAAAACCAAGTGGATGTTTGTCACTAACCAAATAACAGACATCACCACACAGACAGGACGTGACCATAACAAAGTCAGTGACATCTCTGCGTGAGCAGCTCTGTGAAATGCTGTTCCTCATTCCGGCACACCATTTCATAGAATCACAGAGTGGTCTGGGTTGGAAAGGAACCTTGAAGATCATCTCGTTCCAACCCCTCTGCTGTGGGCAGGGACAACTTCCACTATTCCAGGCTGCTCAGAGCCCCAGTCCAGCCTGGCCTTGAACGCCTCAAAGGATGGGACAGCCACAACTTCCCTGGGCAACTGGTGCCAGTGTCTCACCAACCAAGTACCATTTCCGACCGAACTCCATCATCCTCCCCAATTCCTTTCATCACTCAATCGCTTCCTCCAGCCACCGCTCTCTCTCACCTCCAAGCTCCCCAAAACTCCATCCCAACTGCACTCCGGGCACAGCCGCATCCCCTTACCCACTCAGCTCCCCTCGCCATCCCCCCCGGACCCCACCGTGCCGCTCCCTCCCACCGCACCCAGCCCCGGCTCCAGCGCCCGCCCCGGCCCCGCTCAGCCCCCGCCGGGGGCCGCTCTCCCTTACGGGGCATCCTGGTGAGGACATTGCGCGGCGCCTTCTGCCGCCGCCGCGCCGCCGCTGCCCTCTCGGCCGCGTCCTTCTCGGGGTCCGCGTTCACCATGAGGCTGCGGAGCCGCTGGATGCGCTCGGGGTCGGGGGCGGGCGGGCCCCGGCGGCCCCCGCGGGCGGCGGGCGCGGCGCGGCGGGCGGGGGCGGCGCGGCGGCCGCGCGGGCGGCGCAGGCCGCGCTGGAAGCTCTCGTACTCGGCGAGGTTGTTGAAGCAGGGCGCGGCGGGGAAGGGCAGCGGCGTGCGCGGCGAGTAGAGCGCCAGCAGCGGGTCGAAGCGGCTGGAGCTCACGTCCAGGCGGCCGGGGCTCGGCGAGCGGCGGCGCCAGGAGGGGCCCCGCGGCTCCGCGCCCGCCTCGTCCTCCTCCATGGCCGGGCTGCGGGGGCCGCACCGCCCGCCGCCGCCGCCAGGGGCCGCTGCCGCGCAAGGCCCTGAGGGCGGAGCGGCCCCGCCGGGGGAGGCCCGGGCGGTAAAAGGAGCTGTGGGAGCGCGGGGGGTTCCACGGGTGCGGGATCCCTTCCCTGCGGCGTCCTTCGTGCCAGCGCTGCAGCCGCACTGAACCACACGGCTTAGGCTGTGGAGCTTCTTAGGGTAGCTTATGCTGCGTAAAAGGTCGGGGGGTTCTCGACAGGTAGGAACTTCTCGAAAGATTGAGGGGTATCTTTCTTCTGTGAGGCGGAACTGGTAAAAGGAACACGAAGCCAGCAAACTGGTCAAAACTGTCCTCGTGGTCGCACGCTGTTTCAAAGGGGCATGGGCGCTGGTTCTAGAGGGCATGATGATGTGCCAAAAGTAAGAATTCAAAAAAAGGGCAGCGTGAGGAAGACCACCGAGCGCTCACCCTAAAGGACCGCTGACTCACAACGGGAGGCGGGTTAAGGGGAGGAGCAGTTCTGGGGATTAGTTTTGGCAACAGTTCAGGAAAGACAAGGAGCTGCTGGAGAGGGTCCAGCGGAAGCCACGAAGATGCTGAGGGGTCTGGAGCATCTCTCTGATGAGAAGAAACTGCTGGAGCTGGGCCTGTTTAGCCTAGAGAAGACTGAGGGGGGAATCTCTCAGGGTGTCAAAGGAATGGTGCCAGTCTCTTGGTGTTGCCCAGCGACAGCACAAGGAGCAATGGCCATAAACTAAAACACAAGAAGTTTCACCTCAATATGAGGAAGAACTTCTTTATGTTGAGGGTGGCAGAGCACTGGAACAGCTGCCCAGGGAGGGCATGGAGTCTCCCTCTTTGGAGACGTTCCAAACCTACCCAGATGCATTCATTCCTGTGTCACGTGTTCCAGATAACCCTGCCTTGGCAGTGGGATTGGACTGGATGATCTCCAGAGGCTGCTTCCAAGCCTAATAATTCTGTGATTCTGTGATCTTCACTTAGACACCCCTGGTTCAACCTCTCCCCTGCAGCCCACCCTGGAGCCCCTTGGCAGTTCTGGGAATGTTCCCTCGACTGGGCACCAAACCCCACCTGCCCTAGGCAATGAAATGGCACCTGGGCAACACATGGTTGCAGTAAAGTTTGCATTTTAACCCATAAAAGGATATACAGTGCAGAACCACTTCCCTGAGGAACAGTGAGGAAACACTGTTAATGCTGCAGAGAGGTTTTACTGTAATGATTCACCACCTCCATTAATATTTCATAACGGGTTCCCGAACATTTAATGCCGCCTGTTCCGGCAATACATCAGTCACAGGTTGTTCTGAACTTCACAGAAAACCCCTCTTTCTTCACTGGGTCACAGTACAGGACTTCTGAAGCTACAGTGATACATGGAAGAACAGGCACAGGTCGATCTCTGTGTGCCACCAACACCAGGCTGCTGCTTGAACCTTGGCAATATTTATTTCCCCCTACAGCTATTAAGTCACATAAATGACTTTATGCATGAGGATGCCACAGAGAGTTTCTTTCTCTAGAATTTATATTAATACAAATTAAAGGCCACAGTTGTACAGACAAATGGTGACTTACTCCATATTATTGTGAGGACGAGTTAATTAGAAAACAGTCTGAGGATAAGACCTAATACAGACCCATTTTTTTATACACACACACAAGGTACATACGTAGCTATGTTGGATAATGTATCAGGTGGCCATAATATATAAGATAAAAAACCTACATCATGCTTTCCAAGCATGAATCATGGCTGCCAAATTATTTTTTTTCATCTTTAGTCTGAGTAAATCCAAAGTGTTACCAGTTCTGGAACAGCTGCTTTGTATGTAAGGTCCAAAGTCAGGCACCACACAGTAACATACGGCATTTCAAAGTCAAGTTACATTTGTGTTACAAGACAAAAAAAACAGCAGACAGATAAAAAGTTCTAAGTGGTACATGACTGGTGCAATGATTCATTCAGAATCTTTATCTCACAGTCACTCATAGCCTCTTCCTGGGAATTTTGTGACCTGTTCTACAAATCAAAAGGGAAATAGATTCTCTCATTGCATGTTCTTAACTGCTCAGTATTAGCATAGAGCAAAAGAAGGGGAAACCCTGAGCTATTATAAACACACAGGCTCATTGTTTAATTTCAGGAAGAACCTTCAAAGCAGTAGTTTACATCAGTACCTGGCTGATGTTTTTAAAAAAAACAACCACCAAAAGGCACATTGCCTTAAATGTGCAAGTTCTTCCTGCAGGAAGGGGAAAGAAAGTAGATTGATAAGCGAATTCATGGGAAATGAACTCTATACTAAATGACCTTCTTAGTCACATTTGATCCTTTCTTTCCATTTTTATGGCCAGGCCCAACTGCTGACTATCCCCTCCCTTAGCAACAACTGGTCCAGTTACTGTTCTAGCACCATGGTTTTGAAACCAGCATGGTTAGAAGTAGTAACAGCCTTATAAATATCTATTATATCATTATAGCTGTGTTTCTACACTGAAATAGGCTATTTCCCTCAAATTCCAAGCCCTATCCATTAGCACAATTTTTGCTGCTCTGAGAGGTCGCATGATTTAACTGTTTTGACAAAGGGTCTTAACTGATAGTTAAACCAGAACAAACCTGTGCATAAACCAGGCAACACACACTCCTCCCTTCCCTCTAACTAATGTGGATTGTCAGCACTGCTATGTCTGTATCATTCCCAGAAAACAGCAGTATGAGTTGATGTTGGCTCCCTCTTTGCAGGCACCAGGAATGTTTCCCTGTGTTGCTACTGCCACTCCTGCCCAGCAGGAGACCGGTGATGTCCCAGGCCATGGAAAGTGAGAAAAGATGTCTATCCCCGTCCTAAGAGAATTCCAGTCTGTACAGCATCTTTATTAACCTCACTGTTTGGAACTTCCACAACTTACTAGTAAAAATCCCAGGAATGAGAAAGGCCACATGATAAAACATACCAGAGAAGGTATTATTATTATTTTTAATTTTTACAAGTATAAAAATCCTGTACATTTCACAAAAATTTTTAACATCTGTCAGGACACTGCTGAGCTGCTCCATTTCCTTTCAGTAAGAATCAGATATTAGGCAGCTGAATGGTGTATCACTCATCTGACCGAACACACTGGCCTTGAATTGAAATACTTTATGCCAATTGAGTATTCTGGTCCAACTCAGTTGAAACAAATATAAAATTAATAATTTTCTATTCAAATAAGCTATCTTTTTTTATGGTTCATCTGTTCAGTAAAATACCTCATGCTTTACATGGTATAGAAATGTAGGAAATTTATTTTCTACAAATACAAGGTAGGAGCAGTCTTAATTTATCATGAGTTCTTAACACTGAAAATAGAATACGATTTTAGCTTTCCAGATGGGCATATCCCCGTATGTCAGACAACACACTGGTGCCTTCTTTTTAGGCAACAACAATAATAAAACCAAGTAGTTGCTGAAGAGGATTACAGGTTAAACTCTGCCAGCCACCATCCGTACTATTCAGTGGCCAACAACCCAACAGAGCAAAATGTAAACTACCAGTTGTACTTGTCAGAGGTATCAACTATCCTCAGCCAGGATCTCAGGATATTCCTCCCAGAACTGGTCCCCAATGATGTCACAGTGCAGGGGAACAACTTTAGTCTTAGTCCGGGTCACTTCCACTTCCTTTTCTTCTGCTTCCTTTGGCAGTTTTATTTTCTTCGTGATGACTTCATTAACCTGAAAATACAGTTGACACATTAGCAGGCATGTAAAACTCCAGAGGGGATTCACAAATGGGCAAGAAACAAAGCCACAACAAAAACAACTATCAACCCTTTATCACACCAGAGTCTGAACACAGCATTCTTTGAAACATAGTCTGTTCTCAATTCAAAGACTCAATAGGCGAGCAGTTGAAGCTGCCCATCATCATCACACGGCCTGAAGAAATTACCTGCAAATTCACATCACTGATTGCAAGTATCCTTGATAGGAGCACAATATGTACTTTGGAAATATGTAAAGCAAGGAGGAAACCTTGCTAATGTCTACAATTACCAAGGAAAAATATGCCTAAGGAACAAGTGGACTGTATTTGCAGGTGGAGGCCTTTATCTGTTCTAATTAGTTCAAATTAACTAAAAATTGTTAGGCAAAATTTAAATCAAAAATATATTTTGAATCAATTTTTTTTTTTTTTTATAGAAGATGAAAGGCTGAGCAAGTTATGGAGAACTCTTAGTACAGACAGATGGGGCCTGATCACATGAAACACTATTTCTAGATAAGGTATCCTGGCACAGAAGGGCACTAAGGCCATAAACATTTATGATTTTCTGGGGTTTCATCTCATACAAAAACACAGGACAGGAATTTCTTCCACTAATTCTGGATCATCCTAGAATGATGAACGTTTCCAAGTTACCTTTAAAGCAGAAAAGGACTAAGCATACTATGAACTGAGCTACATTATTGAACAAAAGGTTGCAATTCCTTTGCCACGGATATACTTGGGACTTAATTCTGGGAAGAGCCTGGCACAGGCCCCAGTGATATATACATTGTCATCTGTTGATACATGTTTTATCTAGCTGGTCATAATTTGTATCTAAGCCAGACTTCACAGACTAATTTTTATATTATGCTCCTAGAAACAAATATCTCAAAGATATCTCCAAAACAATTAGTCATCTTACACATCATTATATGGCAAATATGGTTAGTTTTAAAATGTATTTATACCCAGAGAACCATTTGAGATACATCTGGTGATTTTACAGTGTAGCCTGTCTGCCACAGTGTAACTGTTTAAAACATGAGCAGGAAGCAAAGGGCAATAGTTTTTTTACCTTCTGCCATATTAAGACAGTTCCTTTTCTATACATCAAAGGTTCATTGTTGTAGTTGATGTTGAATTCAGAAAATAAGATTTCATTCTTATCTCCAGCCAAAGTTCCCTGAGAGGAAACGAAAAGAAAAATACTCTTATAGATAATAAACAAACAAACTGAATCTCTAGGGTAGAAGATGGGTGAATATTGACAGACTGACATTTGTGCAGGTTTTTCACCTTGAAGCCACAAGGTTTAATTACTTCTCTCAACAGAGGAATTAATTCCAATTGACAAACAAGTAGTAAAACTGAGAAGTTTTTAACTACATTTTCAAGACAAACAGAAGAAAGTCAACAAACTCCAGGATAAAACAGAAATAATCTGCTGAAGTCTGCACAAGGAGAGAAAACACAACAAAAGGGGCTGGGAATCAACAGTAGCTGAATTCAGCAGTTGTCCCTTGTGCATTTGGATACTGGACATTTCATGACACTTCTAACATTTTTGAACTGCAAATTAAGAACTTAAAATTCTGTTAATAATTGACCAAAAATATATTACTTGCTAATGATACTAACACCTGTGCAATTCAAGAAGTTGTTGAATCTGCACCCACAAAATTATTACAGTAAGAACAGACAAGCCAGCCAAGGCTGCTGGGCAGGCAAGACACTTTGCAAATCTTATCATTTAATTTGCAGCTGGAAAAAAACATGACCTCAAGAGACTCTTACCCGGAGCCTGTCCTGTGCTTCCACTGGTGTCAAACCACTTCGCTGTACAAGCATCCAAAACACTGTATTATAAAGGTTATTAATATGGCCTACAGAAAACATACAGAAGAGCGTGAGAAAGATTATTTCCCAAATCTAAGTGACAACTTAGAAAAAATAGCTTTATTTCCAGAGTTGTACCCAAGATACAGCCAAGAATAATAGGGAATTAATGTAATAAGTGGCTAGAGAAGATACAAATTTGTGACCCATTTTGAAAGTACTGCATATCAGAAGGATGACTAGAATAGATAGATTTCATTGTAACTCTGAAAAGGGAAGAGCAGAGGGTGAAGGGTGTTTATTGTAATGTAAATTATCTTCATCTGAGCAACAGGGGCTACATACTGACAAAGTGTAAACCCAATGCTCTGTTCTAGCATAGAATATACAACACTTTTGATTGCTAACTGGTATGAATTTAAACATTCACATCTCTTCATTACAGAAGATTACCTTGGCTAAACCAAGTCTGAACATAAAAATTAATAAATTAATTCTATTAATAATTATAATATTTCCTCTGCTGAACTGAAGCAATAAATGTAGTTGTGGCTTAAAACTCAGAATTTCAGCCAATATTTCTGTAGCCATACAAAGCCCAGAACAATTCTCATATTGTTTATTTATTTAAAACTACTACCCTACCTGCTGTTCTTTTACTGACAGCTATATATACAAATACACTGGCAGTAAAGGCATTTCTAGTCAGAGGGGAGCTGTACTAATCTCTGTTTTCTAGAAATACTTACAATCTGCTTGCCTCCAGCTGAGATAGTCCTTCAAGTTCTGGTTGCTGGGATATAACACAATTCGTCCATCAAATCCTGGTGGGTACAGAAGTTGCTGGTCCTTAAAGTAATCCTTCCAGTAGAAAACGTAACTTGAGGCAAACTGGGAGACCACATGAGTCATGAACTTACTTGCAAACACAGAATGAGAGAAAAAAAAGAAAGAAATACATCACTATGGTTATGTATCTGTGGTTATCTGAGGTATTAGTAGTGATAAATCAAACTTTTTTTTTTTAATCTCTGTATTACTGAACATATTTTCCTGAAAGACGATAGACAAAGACTTCACAAGAAGACCCTGAACTCACTGCAGTGAAAGCACCAGCTCTCCTCCTAATCCCTGTGTGTAAGTAAAGGCAAATCAAAGAATTACAAGTCTGGAGAGGGATGTTAAAAACAAGTTCATTCAGTATCAAAGCAGCTGTTACCTTGCTCTCCTTTTAAACCACCTGGTCTTCTTTTTGAAGACAAAACTATATTCATCACTCTGTCCATAAGCAATAGCAATATCCTCCAGTTCTTGCATCACTGTCTGGGCACACCTGGTCATCAGCTGCAGGGCACGGTCATCATTTGGCTTCTTGAACTCATGCTGCTCAGAAAACCTTCAAAGCAAAAATGGTTGAATAAGAATCCCTTTTAAAGGTACTAAAATGCTAACCCATTCATTTTTCCCAGCACACACACGGCACTGGGACACCATTTCCCCACCACCTGGCCCCGTGAAAACAAAACCCCATTAGTAATTCTGTGCCCTGGAGAGGCCGAGTGAAAGTTCATTGCGATCGGGGAGGAAAGGAGGATCTGTAACCCCCGCACCTGCAGGACAAGCATCCAAAACACCATATTATAAAGGTTATTAATATTGCCTCCAGAAAACATAGAAAAGACCATGAGAAAGACTATTGATCAAATCTAAGCGACTACTTAAAAAAAGAAAAACCTCTTTATTTTCAGAGTTGTACCGAAAATGCATATAATGGGGGAATGATGGGGAATTAATATAATCAGCATTAGAGAAGATACAACGCTAGTGATCCATTTATTAAGGCACTGCCACATGAGAAGAATGACTAGGATAGATTTCACACAGGCCGTGCAGGAACAGCCCAGCGCAACGCAGAGCATCACCCAGGACCCTCTTTTGGGCACAGCGCTGCCAGCCCGCAACCCCCACCCCGCGCCCCCCGCCTGCCCCGCACCTGTGGAAGTTGCGGCCGTCCAGTCGCACCACTATCCAGCAGTCGGGCAGGCAGGTGTCGTCCGCCTCGAAGTCCCGCACGTACTCGAACTTGCTCTTGGCCATGGTGAGGCCGCGGTGCCCGCCCGCGGAGCCGACCCCGAGCCCGGCGATGGCCGCGGCCGCCCGGCAGCAGCGCAGCATGGCCGGCACGGAACCGGAAGGCGCCGCCGGAGAGAGCGGCCCCGAGCCCCTCTGGGCGGCCCGGAGGAGCGCTCGGTGGTGGCGGCGGAGGAGGGCGGAGCGCGGGGCGGGCGCGGGGCGGCTCCGGCAGCGCTGGCCGTGGCGGTGGCGGGAGCGCGGGGTCGGTGCGGCGGCATCGCCGGGCGAGGGATGGGGGGTCGGTGCGGCCCCGCCGGCGGGGCCGGGGGTCGGTGCGCGCCCCGCGGCGGTCTCGGGATGCGGGGTCGGTGCGGGCCCAACGGCGGCCGCGGGGTGCGGGGCCGGTGCGCGCCCCCGGCGCGGGGCCGCGGGGAGCGTTGGCGCAACGGCGGAGGGCGAGGAACGGCGGGCGAGGGATGGAGCGCAGGACCGCCCGGCACTGCCGGCTCCGCACACGGGCGCCTCACAAGCCTCCCGCCGGGCACAGGGAAGTCGTGGGTCCCCTCGAGGGGCTGCGCGTCAGAGTGAAGGAGCTCCAGCCGCAGGATCGCCCCGGGCACGGCGGAGCAGTGGCGGAGGAGGGCAGGTGCTTCCCGGCTGCCGGGACGGTTAAAAGGGAGGCCCGCGGCGCCATCAGGAGAGAAGAGGACCACGAAAGGGGCAGCGGTGACAGCCAGAACGAGGAGAGGATGCTGGGACACAGTGGGAATGGGAGTAAGCCCTGGAGAAGAGCTGCTGTCAAAGCGGAGCCGCCTAATGTGGCCTTTGAGGCACGCCCAGTGAGGGTGGAGAAGAACGATTCCCCGGCTGGATCCATGTGCAGACCTAGTCCAGCCAGCCCTGATGACCGCCAGGTCCTGCAGTGTGAGAAGCGTGGGTGCCTTCCTGAAGATCAGAACATCCCGGTTGTCTTTCACCCCTTACCTTCCAGGTCCCACGTACAGATCCAAGGTCCTCGGCCCTCCCAGCTGTTCCATGTGCCGGTAAAACAAGTGCCACTTCAATTGCAGCCTTTAGTGCAGCCTCCAAAGATCGAAACGAAAAACATTCCCCTCACTGTCCTGCCCTCCGATTCAGGTATTACAGTCAGAGAGCTTGCAAGGGTCCAGTCAGTGACACATGAGGTGACAGGTTATCAGGAAGGAGAACACACTTGGAAAGGTTGTATTAGAGAACCAGCCCTTTGGAGTTAGCACAACTTTCTTACACGGAATAAGACATTAACGTGCAGGAGCACAGAGTTCTCTAGTGGTTTGTTAAAATCAATGCAGTTTTGTGTACTTGCTCCCTGACTACATGAAACCCCTTAGAACAGTGTTCAGAATTATGCTGAATTGTGATTGCAGGTTTAAGGTTAGGAATCTGGTTGATTTTTAAAGCTATGAAGCATTCATACACCTCTGAGAAAACTGGGACATATTAAATGAGGAACATTTTGAAACATCTAGATTAGAAGCTTTTTTTGAAAATATCTAGGCTTTCAAAAATAATTACTTTACACTGAGGTCTTTTGCCCTTTATTGATGATGTGATAGAGATAATTTCTAAGACTTTTTCAGAGAGGAAATTGCTGGCTCAGGGATCAGTTTTAAGAGGTCTAGGGATTCATCATGTCGCCAGCTCAATTTAAATGCAGCCTGTGTTTACTAAGAACCAAAGCTGGGTATCATATAACAGTCATTTGGGAGCACAGGTTCCTCCAACAAAATGAGTGTCCAAATCTGAGAAGAGAAAAGAATAAAATGTGATAAAATCCAACCTAGAATAGCAACAACCTCAGCTGAGAAGGCAGGGACTGCACAGGTAGGGGACTGAACAGCCCTACCATCCTCAGATCTGGGCCCTGCATCCTTAGGGCTTTCGTTACAGAGTTCTGGTGGTGATAACAAATTTGCAGTGATGTGGTCTATGCTATACAACATTTAGTTTATAAAGTCATAAGAAAACAATCTGGCCAAATGAAATCCAAACTAGTGTGTTAATAGTCCCATGTTTCTTCCTTTTTTTTTTTTTTTTTTAATAATATGTAACAAAAACCAGGTAAATAATTCCTTGTGCAGTGACCCAGTGAAGGTTAGTGGAGGATGATCCCTAAGCCTTAGTTATTTTTTAGGAACTGCTCACCAAGTTTCATCTGTTCCCAAGCTCTAGTGAATCAATTGCCAAATATCCTGTGGATGCACTAATTAATGTAACCTGTACTGCTGTATTCCCTGGAAGATGAGCTGCTTTCCTTGCCTTGTTGCACAGGTATGCCAGACACTCCATTTAGCAAGACCAAAAGCGGCCGTGTAAAGCGTCCAATGAATGCATTCATGGTGTGGGCCAGGATCCATCGGGCTGCTGTAGCAAAAGCTAATCCAGGTGCCAATAATGCAGAAATCAGTGTTCAGCTTGGATTGGAGTGGAGCAAACTGACTGAAGAGCAGAAGCAGCCGTATTATGAGGAAGCTAACAAAATAAAACTCAGGCACAGAGAGGAATTTCCCGGTAAACATTTTATTTATTTACCTCAATGCTCTAGAAGTGCAAGGCTTTTTGAAAAATGGACCTCTTGCGTTAGAGCAAGTAATAGAGATGGAAAAAAAGTACAAATATTTCAAGCACACACTCCTTTTGTGTGCCTGAAACTGTATAGATTTTTTTAAAATACCCAAAACAATGGTGCTCAGACCACCACAGCTACAGCAACTTTTCTGAATGCTTTAGTCTAGTGAGCAAATAGTGAGTTTGTTTTGAACATGACCTGCTGAATCGTTTTCCTTGCTCCAGAAAAAGCTGCCCAGGTGGCCTGTGGTGACACATGTATCTGTTCCTTAAAAGCAGGAAAGGGAAATGCCACAGGAAGCACAAACGGCATTGTATTCTGTGGGATTCTCCAATGTGTAGGCTTGGGGTTCCCAAATAATGGTGTGAAAGATGTTGTTTCTCAGCCTTTTGACAAAAGGGTTAAAAATTTGTACCCCTAACAAATTATTTTCTCCATAACACATAGTTCAATAAAACAGAGCTTAAGTACTCTAAAATGTAAGTACTTATTGAAAGCTGTTGAGATATTTGGTGTCATGATCCTTTGTCTCTCTGTTGTCGTAATCCTGCTAGTTTTGATTATGGCTAATCCTGGTGGATGAGATCTGACTAATCTGTCATAAACATCACTCCCCACTTCTCTGTATTTCTCTGTTTCACAAGCAGTTACTACTTGGTAACACAAAAACAATGCCCAAATATATCTATTTTATTTTCATCTTGGGTAAAATTCCCCATTTGCCAGCTGACTGAAAAAAAAAAGGAGTATTGCCATTGACTGTAGGAGCAAGTTTGGGACTAGTTTTATCAGATACTTCAGAATTACAGATGCCGTAGCTTTAGATAAAGAATGAAACCATCTAAAATATTGTGTGTCTGCATCTTTTTTCATCTCTGACAGGTTGGGTTTATCAGCCAAACAAGAAGAAGTGTTTCCCACCATCTCGCTCTGCTGTATTTTCTGGCACTTCTCAGAGTACCATCGCTACGAGTCCAGCTGGCCCTCGTCCCTTCCCATCACCTGTGTACTCTTTTGCCAACCCCAATGTTAAGAACAGTATTGGACATCCAGTCTGTGAGTTTTCAGTAGTGAATTATCTAAAAAATTCAGAATTCACCTATTGTAGTAAGAGTTAGTAAGAGTTTGTATTTACAAGGGCATGTAGTGACCGGGCTCTAGCTCTGTCTGTGGACAGTGGATTTCAACATCAAATAGCTTAATCCAGGCAGTGGCATTTTCCTCTTTAAGAACCCGGACAAGGACTGCTCTCTTTACAACAAGACAAGAAAATGAAATGCCTGCTCATGCTGTGTAATATTTGGAGACTTTTAAAAGGGAATACTCAGCTTTGTTCTGGTGAAGATCTGAGTTAGTGATGTTTGAAAACACTTAGGCAATGCGTTTTGAAATCTTTCCCTGTAAAGGCAGCCCTGTTGACATGAGGTGGGATTTGAAAGTGTACGTTGAAGTTTGTGCTCTGCAAAACATTTCAAAGTGAAATTGCCTAATGGGTACATGCACTGGTGAAAGAAGAAAACATATAGGAGATTAGAGTGTTTTAATTGTTGCTTCTGCTCCTCACCAGACAGATTTGTTATAAATTTGGCTCATTCCAACTCATTTATTAGACTTGTGAGGTCTTCTGATCTTCAGGCATTGAAAGCACACTCCAACCCATTCTGTGGCCTTATTAGGACAAGACACAGCCCTCACCAGCCCCACAGTCCCAACACTCACTAGCCAATTCCTTCTTCCTTTGGGTTTCTGCGGAAGGAAGCTTGAATATGTGGGCTTCAAAACCGTGTGTCAGGACACATGTAGGCCATGTAGTGCATGACTGTGAGTTCCAGGGAAGTGGTCGGGGGAAAATGGTTCGGGTTCTAGTGTGGTTTGCTACACTGCTGTTTATAAAAACTCTTGCCATATTCATGTCTGATAAATAACTGTTTTGTTTTCTAAAGGTGAGTCTCCTGTTATTCGTCTGCCAGCTTCTTCCAGTCAACATACTCGTCCAGTGACTCTTTTCCAGACCACTGGTGCAAGCACCACAACAGTGGCTGTCCCAGTTCCAACCCTGTCCCTGCGCCCAGCACAGCACTTTGCTAAACCTGCTCAGACGGAAGCTTTTGTGTCATCTGGGCTCAATTTCTCTCTGAAAAGACCAGCACCCGTTTTCGCAGAGAGTTTCAGCAGAAACACAAGTAACATCACCAACACTAATGGCAGATTTTCTGTCTCTAATAGTGATGCCTCGGGGATTCCTATCTTTCCTAGAGGAATACCTCTTCCCCAAGTTACCCCTTTTATTCCCTCACCTTCCTATGTGTCTGCTCCCATCGTTCAACCAGCCAGTATTTTTGGAGGACCTCCTCAGTTTCCATTTTGCCACCCTTCCTTTGTACCTGGACCTCGCTGTTTCCCCCCAAGGTAATGAAACCCTCAATTTCAGTACCAGTAAGAACAAATGCTAAAAGGCAGAGAGTTTTTTGGCTTGCACAAAGATGGAACATTCAGAAGGGAAGGAGTTCTTACCTTCCTGTAGCTCCTGTGTGGTGGGACCTGCTGGCCTCAGGCTGCTCATAATATATGCCCTGTTATTGAATCTCCATAGTACTATTGCAGTAATTGGCACTCCCAAGACCACAGAAAACAGAATTATCTCCTTTCCACTTTATGCATCTAAGTGCAGTTGATTTTGACAGAAAGGCATTAGCTAGGGATAGTGAATATATATTTTGAAAATGGTCAGATAGCAGTAAAGTAAATGTGTGAGGTGTCTCCTGGGTACTGTGACTGCAGCTGCCATAACTGCTAATATTTCTGAAAACTTGATGAATGCAATACAAGACATTCCTATTTTTTGAGGTCCTTTAAAGAAACACAGGACACATATTCCCAAAATTGCTAAAGATGAGCTTTGCTCAGGCCTGGGTCTCTGAATAGATGGTTTTGTGAGGCCTCTGAGAAAGAGGATTGTTATAAGTTCACTGTCCTGTAAACTCATTTCTTGTATACAAGAATCATGATTTCTGAGTTGCACTGAGAATTGTGTGTTTTACTATTCTGAGTATGTTGGTTAGCTTACTGCAAGGTGATCAGATGCTGGTTTATTATTAATGATATTATTGATAAAAACAGGGGGGTTTATGTTTGTTCTCAAAGAAACCCCATGTGTGTATGAGGTTGAAATGATGCTTATCCAGAGATTTGAAATCTGGATGATTCTTGTTATGGCCATAGTGCTTAAATTAGGCATGGTTTTAAAGTTTCAATCAACAGGATAAGCTTACTAACACAGAACATCAGTGTCATTGTGCAGCCCAGGCAGTCAGCACTTCTGAAAGCCAACTTTGAACCTCTTTCATTGCAGCACATTCTCACTCAGACCTCCATTTAGCTACGGGAATTTCTCCAGCTCAGTGCCTCAGTGCTTCGGCTTTTATGAACACAGGAACCAAAGACAGGAGGTGATATTTTCAGCCCTGGGTGAAGACTATCGGTTCAGGAGGTACTCAGAAGAAAGTATACACGGGGACCAGCGCATCTGTGAGAGCCCTGAGGTGGTGCCCTGTCAGAGCAGCTGCAACAAGGAGAGGTCTCTGAGCCCCCTGCCACAGCTGGATGTTGAAGTGGTCGAGGAAGTTTTGCCATCCTCCCCATCCACTCCCTCCAGCACTTACATCATCAATGTAACTGATAGCGATGAGGAAGAAGATGTAAAGTTGTTTCAAGTATTGTAATTTTTAAAACAAAGTATAGTCCAGAGAAATATTACAGAATGGGAAATAAATGTTTTCCACAGCACTAGCTTTTCAGTCAGTGTGTTCAGTGGGAAACCCATGTGGCTTCAGTGAGTTGCACAGGTCATTTTGAAGAGTCTGATGAGCTGTTTGGAATTTGAGAGCTTACAAAGAGACCTGGGGAGGGTAAATTGTAATTCATGTAACAGAATTCTGTGCAGTTAAGCTGAACATTCCTAGAATGATGAGCTGAAGTAGTTTTTTCAGACAATTCAGGCTACTAATATTAGTTTATATATGTGCTTGTGTGTATTTACAGTTATGAAAATCCAAAGAAATGTAGAAAGAGCTGAAAGCCATGGATGGAGAAGTCCATTTGTGCTGGGCTGCCAGGGGATGCTAAGGGATGATTCAGAGCAAGCTGGTCATATGGGATCTGTGTCTGCAGGTTTACAGTGTTGAATCCAGCCCTCAGCTGAGCTCTCTTGAAAGCTCTTATGTCTTGTCTACAACAGAAGTAAAAATTATACAAACAACCCACCCAAACCTGGCTTCCTCTGAATCATTCTTTATCCTGCTCTGGTAGCCCTGCAGTGGAAAAAAAATGATAGAAATGGTTTTTAGTTCCCATTTCCAGGTCCTTTTCAGCCCACTAACTTCTCTGTGAAATGCAGATTCCTGAAGTGCCAAGAATCTGTGCTGTTACTTCTCTTGCGGTGTCTGAAGTGGGTCACAGGCAGGGCCAGTCCTTTGGCAATTGTGTGCCCTCCTGCAAGTCTCCATGGCAGTGCAGAGGGTACCGGGGGCGTGAGAGGGAATTATTCTACTCTCTTATATCATAATTATTTTCTCTTTTATATCACAATTATTTTCTTCTTTCTCTACTGTTTACCTTGATCTGAACTAAAAATCACCTTGCATGGTTCTCAGCTTGAGAAACAGATGCAGATTTTCTGTATAAACTTGTTTTCCTCCTGCTACTGTGAAAGTCTAAAGACACTCAGTAGTGCTTCCCGGTGCATCACTGCCTGTGGCTATCCATTTGCAGAGACAACTTTCTTCCCCAAAGTTACTGGACAATTTCATGGATTGGATGTTATTAAAAGCCCTTGTGCTGTTTTACCTTAGGAGAATAAACTACTTCAGCATAATCACTACTCTATTGGTGCAGTTTACAAGCAGCATGGAGAGGACTACGGTGCTTCATATGTGGAAATACAGTTAAAAAGGCATGGTATGTCTGCATATAGAATCTTTTACCACCAAGTTCACTTGCCTGTAGGAATGAAGCAAATTAGTAGCAGAAAGTAGCAGCAGTGACCCACCCTTTAAAGGAAGCACAGAGATTGCTCTGATATTCTTTCACTATCAGCACATTGGGACAAGCCCTTGTCCAATACCTGATCATCTTACAGCACTTCTCCCTCTTTGGCGGGACAGCTGCTCTAGGGCCTTTCCAAGTATTCCTGCTGTCCTACATGGGTGGTGGAAAACCAGAGTTAAACAGAGTATTCTGGGTCAGCTGAAGCTGCTCTCAACTGCTAAGATTCAAGATAAAGAAGTTCGCTGTTAAATCTCCAGTTCCCTTCACGCATTCAGAGCTTCCCTCCTTTGATCAGTTCAAGTGATCTGAATGAAAAAACGTTCTGAAAAATGGGATATTTCACATTCTGCTCAAGTCAGCCAAAGACATAAAATTTCTCTCATCAGTGTGAGTATCTGTCATGCAGAGGTTAGGCAGGACAGTCTTCTCCCTTCTCCTGCTAACACTTTGATTCTGGGTAACGTTTCCTCCAGTGTCAGCAGGAGTCTTTTCAGAGCACTTCATTCAACAACCTTTCCTATTTCTGAAGAAAGAGTTCCAATGAAATATTACTGAGCTCTTACTCTGATACATGTCCAAGTCATTCTCTGCACAAGTCTGTCTCTTGAACAGGCATTCTTCTCCATAGGCCCATCTATTTCCTTCTCGGTGGCTAACTTCTAATTTACTATGAACATAATGGGAGAATTGTCATCTTTGCTTCCAGCCAACAACAACAGTGTTAAATCATCTTACAAACCGTGGAGCAAGTGCAGAACCCCCACTGCAAAAGCTTTGTCATCAGCTTTGCCCTGGGGAGGCTGAGACACCTCGTTGTCGAGCCTAATGAAGACCCCTTGCTCTTGGTGCTGCTTGGAGGCTGCTGCTAATGGGTATGTGCATGCCTTGATCACAGGGGATGTAACAGATGAGGGAACAGAGCACAGACTCGAAATTCCCAGCTGATACTTTTAATCAGGCAGTGTGGATCCTGGAGGAAATGAGTCTGGGCCTGTAAAATTCCTAGATAACCCAAAGCCTGACCTTGCTTTGTGAATCAGGCAAATGTCCCCCTGACTTCGGTTGGAGCTCTTTGAAGAGATGGGCACAGGCAGGATCTGACTCATCCTGCACCAGATGCAGGTACCATTACAACATCTGGGCACTGCTAGGAAGGCTGAAATATCCTAATTCTTTCCATGCAACAATGTCTCAGTAATGTGATATATCACATATATATATAGATTAACCTATATATAACAACTGCACAGCCTGTAGTTATATTTTTATGGAGGGAGTTTCTGGTGATTGTAAATTAAGATATCAGTTCTCATATTACCAAGGGCCAAAGATAAAAATATCACTATGTAACAAATGCAAATATTGCACATATTTTATTTTTATGGTACTTGAATGCTGGAAAAAAATCACAAGCAGATAGTTATTGGCCTAAGTGCTTTAATGAACTTCAGTCTCCCTTTATTCCATTTTATGCTTTTTTTGAGCTGATCTTCTCTTAGAGAAATACATGGAGCAGTCCCTATGAATGTTTTTTGTACTGAGATGATTTGTGACAACCTTTCAGTGCAAACATACATGTTCCTCATCAAAGTGTGGTTTTGTTTTTTTTTTTTCCTTTGGGTAAATGGAAATTTTATGCAAGGATGAAAGCATAATAGCTAAAATCGTGTCTAAATTTGGCTTGCATTTTTACTTATTTATAATAAAGACATCCACAATAGTGCCATTGTTTTCATCTATATTATAGGCAGCTATAAATAAGTGGGGGAATTCAAAGAAAATAATCAAGTTTTCCCTTCAAGGCATTCCATATGATTAGAAAAGAGCTGAAATTTGGTCCCTGGATTTTTGCTCTGGGGAAGAACACGATTTACTTGTGTCATGAAAATTTGTGACCTCTCTGTGAGGCAGATAAAATGTCATTTGTAGCCCACTCACCCTGATCACTCCCTCTAAGTGTCTCCACGATGCCCTGGCTTTCCTCTGCCAGGGTGATATCAGGAATGAACTGACCTTCACAAGGTCAGAGGGGTTCAGGGTGTGAAGTGCTGGGGGAGAAAGAGGACATGTATGAGAGTCATAAGCCAAAAGAGTATCTGAAAATGGAAACAGTCATGTTTCCTTGAGGCAACAATGGCAGGAGCCAGCAAAGACCTTCAGTAAAAGAGAAATCAGTGTTCTCAATAGCATAAATAATCCTCTGGACAAGAGAGGAAATCATTACTATTATCTAGCAACCTTTTATTCTAAAGGGAGTATTAATTTCCTATCAGGCTGATTTACCAATACATTCTGAAACACAGCCAGGTGCAAATTCTCTCAATTTCTTGTTTCCCTGGTGATTCACCTACGTAGACACTTAAGATGAATGTCAGAGGTGAATGGAAAGAGTTGAATGGATAATGCAGATCGATGGCTGTCTGAAGAGCACGGCTAAGAGGTAATGCCTCTTCCTGCCACTCGGAGTTGACCCCTTAAAAATCTATGCCAGTCCACCCTTGCAGCCTTGAGTGAGGCTGCAGTGGAGCTGGACAGGAGTCACAGTAGAAATACACTGACACAGGGAAGGCAGTTGCTTTTTGGGGGCTCAGGGTGTGGAAAGAGCATCTACAGCACTGTGGAGACATGGTGTTTGCAGCTGGTAACTTCAGCAGGCCCCCTAAGTTGGACTCTCCTCTACTGGTGTGACCCTGACCCCACAGGTAATTCAGCAGTGAGACACTGCATCTCACACCTCCAGGTTCTCAGCTCCCTGAGAGGCAACGGACCAGCAAAGAAATGATGTGTGGACTTCAACCCATGGCTCAGCCCCCAAGGATGCAGGAGAAGATAGGGATGCTCCTTTGGGAGCCTCACAGGAATGAGTGGATATCCCTGAAGGGCAACACAGGGAATATGAGCCATGGATGTTCCCAAGCCCTTCCTCAAGCCTGGCCCTTCCATCTTCCATAAGAGGAGAGAGGCACTGAACATGTTATTGGTTCTGTCCTTTTATACAGGCACATAAAAATCTAGCCTTTATCCCTTCAGCTGTCCAGGAGTAATGCATTTTCCAGGAGTGGAGGGATTTAGGATGTCTCTGGAACCATGGGATCAGCTATGAATAGTTTTATAAGATTACACATAAATATAGCAGATAAATAAATAAACAACTAAAGCCATAAGCACAGCTCTTACGGGATCTTCTTGAGCTGCTTCCCTCACTCAGGTCTCCCTTGGTTCCTGGCTGTTGCAGGGCTTGCCCTTGTCCCGAGGGCCCGGGAGGGGGACACAGTCCAGCCCTCCAGCTGTAGCGCCCGGAGCCCGAGGGCTGGGCTGGGAGAAGAGGAGGAGCAGGGGGGCTGCAGAGCGGACTCGGCCCAGTGGGAGGAGAAAAGCTGCGGGCGGGTTTATAGGGCGGGCGGCGGCGGCAGAGCCGGTCCGTACCCGGAGCCATGCGGGGCCGGGGGCTGCTCTGCGGCATCGCCCTCTCTCTGCTGCTGCAGCCACCGCGCCGTGAGTGCGGGGTGCCCGGCCCGGGGGGTGCGCGGCCGCCCCCCGCCCTGCACCGCTGCCTCTGGCTGCGGGAGCCCCCGGGGAGGGAGGGCGGGAGGATGGATGGATGGTTGGGTGGGTGGGGGAGTTGTCTGGGGGATCCTCCTGGTTTTCCTACAACCAGCGCAGAGCTCCTCTCCTCTCCCGCCCTGGCTCCGCGCTGTCCAAGCCCGGGGTGCGGAGGGGCCGGGGGTGCTGAGCGGCTCCTC